TTCTTGTTTCTTAAGCTCCCATTCTTTTTATCATGGACCCCTCTTCAATGATGGGTACACATTTCCATAGGTGTTGTGATATAAAAGGGATAAGAATAATGTTGGGTCTGATCATAAAGAACCATTCCAAGGATGGCAGGAGCAAAGAGGGTATATTTGAGCTTTTAAGGTTTATCCTGAAGGGTTTCTTTTGAGACCATTACATTGCTTATGGATAAATTTAAACGGGTTTGCATTTCATTTCACCCCGCTGAATGAGCCACGGGAAAATGGTCTCTCCTGTCCAGCCAGACAGTTCCACACCTGATCCTGGCAATTTCATCACAATGCATTGATGTTTTGATTTCCAGATGTTACTAGCTCAAGGTTGTATTATCAACACTCCATGAAAATAAGGGGTACAGAGTTCTCAAAATTTGTCAAGTTAAATCCAAAGGTATAAGTTAGCGTCATAAAAACTGTTGGAGAATATAAACATTAGATGTTGGTATGTATACAGCATACATTTATTCATTCAACAAATTACTCTGTGTCAGGCACTGAAATAGGTGCCTGACATTCATAGATGGAAAGACAGCCCATCTGCACTGATACAACCCATTATCTGGAGTGCCCTAATCTCAGCATCTGGCCTGAACCACACTGATGTGTTAAAAGAGAAATAGGTAGAATAACAACAAGAAGGTTGGAAGCTGGGTGTATCCTACAGCCTGTCATGTAGGTAGTGGTTGGCAATGACAGAGAGAGAGTTAGTTGCACAGTCATGTCTGAGTCTTTGTGATTCCATGGACTGTAGCCCGGCTCCTCTGTCCATGGGATTCTCCAGGCAAGAGTACTGGAGTGGGTTGCCATTTCCTTCTCCAGGGGATCTTCCCGACTGAGGGTTCAAACCCAGGTCTCCTGCACTGCAGGCAGATTCTTTACCAACTGAGCCACTAGAGAAGGCAGTGAGTATTTATCCAAAGACAATCTCTCTGTGAGTGTCATTTGCCAAAGCTATTTCATAGACAAGGTTGAGAATCACGAGTCTGTCTATGACATCCCTTATATGTGGTATCTAAAAGGAAATGGTGCAAATGAACTTGCTTACAAAACAGAAAGAGACTCACAGACTTGGAGAACAAACATGTGGTTGCTGGCAGGAAGGATAGGGGAAGTGATAGGGAGTTTGGGAAGGTCAGGTACCCACTGTATATATTTATATGCTATATTTAAAATGGATAACCAACAAGGACCTATACCTACTGTATAGCCCACGGAACTTCTCTGCTCAATGTTATGTGGCAGCCCGGATGGGAGGGGGCTTTGGGGTGGGAATGGATACATGTGTGTGTATGACTGAGTCCCTTCGCTGTTCACCTGAAAAGATCATAGTGTTATTAATTGGCCATACCCCAAAACAAAATGAAAGCTTCAAAACCAAAAAGATTCATGGGCCTGGTGTGCGGCTATGAGGGTTTCATACAACGTTGCTGTCCACATAAACATAGAGAAGCGGTGCCCGTGTCTCTCTGCTTCAGAGTGAAAGCGTCAGAGAGGAGGTGCCATGTGAGGTGGCCCCTGGGGAGGTGAGGGGGGTGGGCCCCGATCAAGAGAAAGGAGGAGGCGGCTCGATGTTTCGTGGTGGTCCTCTTGGCTTTGGGTAGGTTTAGAACCTATCCAACCTGCCCTAACCTCTGACAAAATGTTGCTGCTTACACCTGCATGTTCGTTTTGGAGCATCCAAGCCTCTTGGAGACAAATGCTGACAGATCCCAGGAGAAAGTAAACAGACTGGAGAAGCTAAAGGACCCAAAGGGCAGGTGAGACCAGGCAGGATGGGAGTGGATGTGAAATGCAGAAAAATACCCTGCTTGGGGGACTCAAACATTACAGTGAGAAATACAGTGGAGTTTGGTTTGGAAAAGTGCAAGGGTTTCATCTGGGGAAAGTAATCTGAGACCCAGGCTTGTTGTGAAGGAGTCGGACAGGGAGGCTTGGAAAATGATGACCTTAAGGCTGCTGAAGGTTGAATGTGAAAGGCAAACTTGAGTGGAGTTGGCAATGCAATACAGATGCTCTCAGAGAAAGCTCGCTGCCCTGGGGCTGCTGGGGCCGAAGGAACATGAGCCCTGTGACACTCAGGCTTGAGCAGGTGCCCCAGAAAGCAGGCGTGTAGAAGTCTTTCCAAAGAAGTAGCTGAAAAATTCTGGGCCAGGAAAAGTCAAAATGGGAAGGAAGGCAATCAACTTCTATTTAAGAGTATTGAGTTCAGAGAGGGAGAACTATTTTGGCTCTCACCCAATGGTGTGGGTGACTGAAGTCCCATTTTGCCCAACCACCGCTTTGTAAAGTAGATTTTCTGCGATCTTAGCCTGAGCCCTAAATCCTGAACTTCAGCTGATGTAGCTCTTTTGCGAGCCTGAGTTTGAAAAAGGGCTTGAAAAGGCCCAGGGAACCTGGACTTGCAGGTTAGCCTCGGTGTCACCAAGCCAGGCTCGTCTACCTAATTCACATGAAACCCGAACGCTGAGATGCCAGGGTTTGCAGTAAAGAGAAGGCTTATCCACAAGGCAGCCGAGTGAGGAGAAGGGGGACAAATTCAGATCTGCCTTCAGGAAAGCAAGGGGCTCAGGTATTTATGGGATAAAGAGGCAGGGTGGCCTGGGGCTTTGGGAGCTTGGGGGAAAGTGACTGGAAGTAAGGAAAAAGGAGCAATTGTCATTCTCTGCAGGCGCGGCTAGAGTACCAGCCTCTGCCTGCTCAAAAATGCAGGTGCTTAGCACTGTCTGAGGGAGAAAGAGCTGTCTCAGCCACGTCCTGATGGTCAGATAAGAGCTGGTCAGGTAAGGCGTTCAAGGCAGAGGGACTAGCAAGAGAAAACACAGGGAGCTGCCTCCAGAGATGAGTCTTCCGGTCATCTGACTGTGGAGGGTGGCCTGGCCCGCTGAGTCCATATAGACTGTCAACCGACCCCTTAGTTTTCCATGCCAGTCCTTGGAGTTCCTGGTCCTGCCGAAGCTAGGACATTTCTGGTTTTGAGGGTCCAATTGTCCCCCTTCTCAAGTACTTCCAATTCTGCACGGTGCGCCGCCCGATGCCCGCCCCCCGTGGCTCTCTGGAAAGTAAGTTCCTCTGTTCTGTTATAGCAATTTCTCCTCTTCAACTGCTTTCCATTTGCCAGGAACTCCTGGGTATCTCTCTCACTGACGACCTCTCTCTTGTTCTCTTTGTCATTGAGCTTTAACTGCCCCCTCCTTTCATTTTCATTTGCTCTTTGAACGGGGCAGGATAACTACATATGAACAGTTTTCCACTTTTAACAGAAAAGGTTCAATATGTTTTGAGGTACTTCAAAAATTTTCTCCAAGAATGCTTCTCACAAATATAAAAGGAAAAAAAATCCACTATTTAAAGATGCTTTTTGGGAATTAGCTGGTGGTCTGGTGGTTGGGACTCTGTGATTCCACTGCAGGGGACATGGGTTAGATCCTTGGCCAGGGAACTAAGATCCTGCAAGCTGTGGCATGGCCAAAAAAAAAAAAAAAAAAATCCCCTAGTGGTATAAAATGCATTTTTGTTGTTCAGTCACTCTTTGTCTGACTCTTTGTAACCCCATGGACTGTAGCATGCCAAGCTCCCCTGTCCTCCACTATCTTCCAGAGTTTGCTCAAAAAATGTATATATTTCACCAAAATCTTATGCGTGTATAAAGATGTCATCCATTAGTTTCCTAACATGCAAATCTGTGATTAAATCACTTTCATTTTTAATACCATCCCACTTTCAAAAGGGCTTCCCTGATAGTTCAGTTGGTAAAGGATCTACCTGCAATGCGGGAGACCCCGGTTCGATTCCTGGGTCAGGAATATCCCCTGGAGAAGGGATAGGCTAACCCACTCCAGTAGTCTTAAGCTTCCCTTGTGGCTCAGCTAGTAAAGAATCCGCCTTCAATGCGGGAGACCTGGGTTCTATCCCTGGGTTGGGAAGATCCCCTGGAGAAGGGAAAGGCTACCCGCTCCAGTATTCTGGTCTGGAGAATTCCATGGACGCGTCCATGGGGTCACAAACAGTCCATGGGGTCACAAAGAGTCAGACATGACTGATCGACTTTCACTACTTTCACAATGCACACAAAAAATAAAAGAACACTGTACTTGGTCCAAAGAGCCCAGGTTAACACCTATTGTCTTTTTCCTCCCCAAGTTCTCTCACTTCCTACATTCTTTGGGGAGTTTTTTTTATTAGTTCACATGTTGATTCTGTGCCTTTTGTCCTGAGTTCTCCCCCAAAGTCCACCACAGTGCTTGGACTTCTATGAGGCCAGTCACTGGTGACTGACTGGGGGCTGCTGTGAAGACAATGATGGTGATGAAGAGGAGGGGGAGGAGGAGGGGGGTATCCTGAAGGAGAATGGATCAGGACAGAACCTGGAACCTGGTCTGACTTTCAGTAGATTTCTTAAACACTATATTGTATTAATATCTTTGTTTTCATTTTTCAAACAATCATACCAATTTGTCTTCAGTGTATTCCACGATTGAACCCGAATTTGGCCACTTTTCCTACTGACACCTCTTCCGGGAGTGTTTTATTTTCAACATATCTCATCCCCTCTTTGCTGCTGTGAGCATCTCATCACCTGCCCTGGGGAACTGGACAATCTCCTAATTGGGCTTATTTGCAGGGGACAGGCCAAAGAAAGACAGATTATTTTGCCTAATGGAAGGTAACAGTCCCTGACCAAGACAGAGGCAGATAGACTCACCCTTTCATACCGCCCCCCCCCACCACGCCCCCCTTGAGATAACAGAAAATCCACTGACTATAGCAACTGTGGCTCTGGAGTATCCGCCTTCCTTTCGGGGGCACTTCTTCAAATTTGCGTGCAAACCCGCAACGTCACTTAAACGTTTAGTTTTAGTAACATTTGGTCCTTTCCAGCATCCCTTGCGGAGGGCGCTCCGAGCTGGCTGGCTCACGCAGCTCTGCCCCTTCCCCCTGCCCTTCACCTCTAGCAGAAACCCACCCCCAAGCAGTACTCCCAGTTCAGCGCGGACGTGGCGGAGGCCATCGCCTTCTTTGACTCCATCATCGCAGAGCTGGATACGGAGAAGCGGCCGCGGGCTGCGGAGGTGGACTTGCAGAATGAAGACGTGGACTTCGATGGTGAGTGCTATCCCTGGGGGCGGGAGGTGGGGGTGGCGTGGGGTCTGTGGAGTGGACTTCCCCGATAAAGGGGCAACTCTCATCTGCAAGTCAGAGCCTGGCCCTGAGCTCACTCTATGCCTTGGGGTCCGGGCTTTGGCCTCCCCCACAGTGGGGTACCCCCTTTAACCCTTGACGCCCTGTTTGGACAAAAACTCCTTCTCTGTGGGGCTTCCCTGGTAGCTAGCTGATAAAGAATCTGCCTGCAGTGCAGGAGACCCTGATTCAATTCCTGGGTTGGGAAGATCCACTGGAGAAGGGATAGGCTACCCACTCCAGTATTCTTGGGTTTCCCTGGTGGCTCAGCTGGTAAAGAATCGGCCAGCAATGCAGGAGACCTGGGTTCCATCACTGGGAGGGGAAGATCGCCTGGAGAAGGGAATGGCTACCCACTCCAGTGTTCTGGCCTGGAGAACTCTTTCATGGATAGAGGAGCCTGGTGGGCTACAGTCCTTGGGGTTGCAAAGAGTTGGACATAATTGAGCATGCATGCACGCAGGTATAGTCCAGGGGGTCACAAAGAGTCGAACACCATTGAGTCTTTCTCTGTGGTCCATTTTTCACAGCTGAGGTGGGGTGGAATTTTTAAGGCTCTGTGAGGGAAAGCAATAGAGCAACAGTTCAAGCAAGAGGTGAGGTGGGGAATTGTTAAATGGGTACAGAGTATAAGTTTTGCAAGATGAAAAAGTTGTGGAGACCTTTCACACAATGATGTGACTATACTCAACTGAATGTACACTACAAGATCCCTCAGAGGGTACATTTTATGTTATGTATCTGTTACCAGAATTGAAAAAAGAAAAGGGAATGAAAGTGAAAGTGAAAGTCGCTCAGTTGCATCTGCCTTTGCAACCCCATGGAATATACAGTCCATGGAATTCTCCAGGTCAGAATACTGGAGTGGGTAGCCTTTCCCTTCTTCAAGGGATCTTCCCAACCCAGGGATCGAACTCAGGTCTCCCGCATTGCAGGCTGATTCTTTACCAGCTGAGCCACAAGGGGATAAGGGAATAGACAAATTATATTTAACCTATGTCTTTTATATTTGACCTATATATTTGATTATGTAGGTTGGCCCTGGACAGCACTGTTTGCTAGACCTGACTCTGACCCTTTACCATTTGTCACCCCTCTGCACCCTACCCCACCCCCCCAGTGCTCCCTCTGTGGCCCCCACTGGCCACCATTCTGCAAGGGTGTGGAGGGCGGGAGAGTGCCAGGGTGCTTGCTCAAGCCCAGCTTGGATTGTTGGAGAGGGTGGGGTGAGGTTGAAGGTGATGCTCGTCTCCTCGCCAAGGTGTATCACTGGCTGCCTCCTGATGGAGAGCAGATAACTCCACCACATTCATGAGTTGAGCCCACATCCAGTATTTGACTGTCAGTTTCTTTAATCTTTGATTGGCCCTCAGGGCTTCCCTGGTGGCTCAGTGGTATAGAATCCGCCTGCGATGCAGGAGACTCGCCGGAGATGCAGGTTCAATCCCTGGGTCAGGAAGATATCCTAGAGAAGAGGGCATGGCAATGCCCTCTGTTATTCTTGCCTGGGAAATCCCATGGACAGAGGAGCCTCGTGGGCTACAGTCCATGGGGTCACAAAGAATTGGACGTGACTGAAGCGATTGAGCACACACATCCATTGAGAACATAAGTGTTATCTTCAGAGTTAAAATTTTTTAATGGAGATGACTTTATGTGTTTTTCTCTAATAACAAGAATAACATATGTTCATTGTGAATCAAGTGAGTCAAACAACATACCAAAGTATAAAGAAGAAAGTGAAGCATTTGGCCTGTAATTCTACTACCCAGAGATAATAATCATCGTTAACATTTGGTGTATGTTCTTTCAAAAAGGTTTAAACATAGACTCATTTTATTATTCCTTTTAAACAAAAATAAGATCTCTTGCCTATTTTTTTCATCCACTCTTTTCCCTTAATTTACAATACATTGAGGGCATTTTTCCAAGTGAGAAAACACAGGTCTATGTGCTTATCTTTAATAGACACACACTCGAGCATTTTCTCCCTGCCCAGTAATTGCAAAATTGAATCATTCTCTTCGCTCAGCTCTCTGGGCCTTCCTGGTGGCTCAGACGGTATAGAATCTGCCTGCAAGGCAGGAGACCTGGGCTCGATCCCTGCGTTGGGAAGATCTCCTGGAGAAGGAAATGGCAATCCATTCCAGTATTCTTGCCTGAAGAATTCCAGACAGAGGAGACTGGCGGGCTGCAGTCCACGGGGTCGCAGAGGATTGGATGTGACTGAGCGACTAAGCAAGAGCATACTAGCGCAGCCTCGCCTTCCTAAGCATTTGCTATTTACTTGTGTGTTTACTGTGAGTTCTCAGCCCCCGCTGCCCCCTCCGTGACCTTCTGCTCCCCCTCCTCCCCATGGTGAGTCCCCCTTTCCCGGGCCTGGCTTCTGTCTTCCAGTGGCCACCAGCTCCCGGGAGCATAGCCTGCACTCCAACTGGATCCTCAGGGCGCCCCGACGGCGCTCCGAGGACGTCGCGGGACACACGACAGCTGGCCAGTTCCGGAGGAGCACGGAGCGCCGGACCATCAGCACGCAGAGGAGACTCGAGAGGCACCCCATTTACTTGCCCAAGGCTGTGGAAGGGGCCTTCAGCACTTTGAAATTTAAGCCCAAAGCCTGCAAAAAAGAGTAAGTGTTTGGGCCACAGATTGTAACCAAGATGCTCTCATGTCCACTAGACTCTTGGGGGGTGCTTCTTAGGTGCCCTGAACCCCCATCCTGCATGGAAAAATTATTCCCTATTTGAAGGGAGGGAGGTCTTAGTTAAAAATTTTGTAACAGCTTACACTTATGTTCTAGCTTGGTTCACGTCTGTCCCCAACCTTAAATGTCCTTTTAGCTCTGGATCTGCCTCCCTGTCTGGCCACTTAGCCCTCATGCTTTGTCCGTCCTGTCTCACTGTTTCCCCCAGATATCACTGATACTCTGTGACCTACAGATCTTTCATGACAGTTTGGGGTTGAAGCAGGCATAGCACCATGAGGGATCCAACCCTGAACCGATTAGATGGTCCTGCAGTAGAAAGGCATCACCAGGCTGGGGTGAAGGACTTCTTCCTGGCCCGGTCTGTGCTGACCCTCTTGTCATTATCTCTTGGCCTCTTTCCCTGCAGGTCCTCCTCTCCCAAGACGAGTTTCCATCTCTAATTCGCAAATCCCTGGGACTCACTCCTTCAGAGAGATATGTGTACACTTGCTCTGGCCACCCCAGGCCACTCTGCAGGGAGCTCACCTCTCACAATAGAAGTGCCTGTCTTGGCTCACCCACCTGTCTTCCTTTGTTTCTACAAGAGCCCTCCAACTCTGATGGGTTCAGGGGTTTTCTAAACGGCCTTTTCCCTCCTCCATAATAAAGGACCGTGTACTGGACATATTAAACCAGGACTCAGCCCTCATCTCCTATTCTTCCCCTCCAAGGTCAGGTCGCCCCACATCCCTACGATGACACAGATCTGTCTTCCATGAGTCCCAGCACAAGGGGAGCAACCGACAGGCTCCATCAGGAGGGTAAATCAGAGCATCCTTTCCCTGTGTGACCGGCCAAGCCAAACCTAAGCCCTCTGCCTCATTCCTCCCTTCCAGCCTTGGGAGCTCCAGACAGATCCTCTTCAACTTCTCGGGAGAAGATATGGACTGGGACTCGGAGCTCTTTGCGCTGGAGCCCCCGGCGTCCCCCGGGGAGGACCAGTATGAGACAGAGAACCCCCGAGGGCAGTGGCTGCTTCGGGAGCGACTCTGGGAGCGGACAGTGCCCTGATGGCCTCAGCTTGGCAGCCTGGCTCAGGCTGGGTCCCCCAGAAGGAGTCTGCTTTCAGCGAAGCAGCAGGTGTGTGATAGAGTTAAAGATGGGTCAAGTCAGGTCCTTGAACACGCAGTCTGCCCGTGCCCAGTCAGTGCCAAAGACACCTGCACGGCCTGCAGTAGGGCACTTGGCAGGGCTCTGCTTTCTCTGTGTGGGCAGGTGGGCTGGTCGTTACCACCCTACTGGTCTTTAAGAACAGAAGGAATGGAAAGTCCAGGCTCACTCCTGGCCTCCCCTGGTACAGGGGAACATCCCGCTTGGTACTGGAAACCAAGAAACGCACCCACCCACTCATCTCTGGGCCAAAGTTTTCAAAGAGAGGCGACCCCTCTTCTCCACGGGGCTCAGAAGTCCTCTGGTCACCCACTGAGCTTGCTTCTTCTCTGCAGAATGCCGTTTGGGAAGCAGCTTTTAAAATTTTTTCCACCTTCTTTTCACAGTGTGTTCTGGAAATTTCTGCTGGATTAGGCTGAAGATGAGGCCAGTGTCCTGGCATCGGGATGGGGGATGTGGTGTCTGAGGGCCCTGGCTGGGGACCACGCTGTCTCCCCCAGCCCCAAAGCTCAGCTCGGCTTCTCACAGCCTGGGGAAGGAGGAAGATGAAATGATACTTCGTTTCTAATTCTCAGGCCCCAAATCCTAATAGATACTCACCCAGCCTGTGGATGAAAGTTAGGGCCCTCCCTTCCCCAAATTAGGAGGGCAATCAGAACCTTCTGGAGTAGAAAGGATTTTGACTTCTGTAACTGTCCAAATTACCCAGACTCCCCTGGTGGTCCAGGGGTTCAAATTCCATGCTTCCACTGCAGGGGGCTGGGTTCCATCCCTGGTTGGGGAACTAGGATCCCATGTGCTGCGTGGTGTGGCCAATAAATAAAAATAAAGAAAAAAACTTCTCTTAAGAATTACAGTTTTTAAAAAGAATTACATATGTAGCATATTCTTTGCATGTCTCCTATACTTTTTTGCACATTTTGCATACCGTTTGACCACCTCAAGTTCGAGAACCACTGCAGCCTCACCTATTTCTTCTGGCATTTTCTTGTTAAAAAAAAAAAGAAGTCACCCAGGGTGGGGGAGAGGTGCAGGGCTGTTAATGGCGATAATAGAGGAAAACGGACTAGGAAAAATCAATAATTGACATTAAGCCCAGGTTGCTTTAGGCTAAGGGTCCCTCTGTGAGCTGAATAAAGCTTCCCTTCTCCCAGGCCCATGCGATGATATTCTTATTTTCAGGTTTTATTAGAAAGAAGCTTTTATTTATGTTAATTTGACTCAGAATTTAAGTATTTGTAACTTCTGTGAGAAAGAAAAAAAAACCTAATAGTTATCTGCCATTCTTCAATGTTTTTTCTAGTTTAAATAAAAATGTTTAAAAAGTTCTCAGAAAAAAAAAAATAAAAAGTTCTCAGGTGATGATGATTCTGCCGTTCCAGGGTCCATATTTTGAGAATTGATGACTTAGAGGCTTGAGTGTTAAAGATGAAAACCTGCGGCGGGGTGAGGGCAAGAAATTTTATATCAACACATTTTCAGAACAAAAATGTATAGCAAATGTTTTATTACTTGTGTTTCTTATTCTTTGAGTGCCAATGTCAATGTTTGGGAGTTTTTGTTTTGTTTTGCTCATCTTAAGCCCACTAGAGCCAGAGGCTTGTCTGAAAAATAAATGTTTGGGAGATTTGTTTTATGAACTGCATTAATGCACGCCAAGTCACATCACTGTGTATCTTTCCTTTCTCCAAATGTGGCCTTGTTTTGAAGCCCCACAAAGGAGAGTTCACTGTTTGGGATAGACTCAGCATGAGGGTCTCTAGGCTCTGCCCTTATCAGACCCCAGTTGATCATAGATTGACCCTGACATGAAGTGGTGAACACACCTTAGGTATTTTGCTTGTATAGGTAAGAAAAAATGAGCAGGGCAAGTAGGGATCATTGGAGTCCTGATTTTTTATTTTTTAGCATTTATTGCTTATGGGACATGAAACTGTACTTTTTCTCTTTTGCCTCATGTTTTGTATATTTTTTTGTCTTTAATGAGACTATACACAGACTGCCTGAAAAACTCCATGATTCAGAAACATAAGGCTAGCTTGTCTTGGGGGTGATTTTAGGTCTTTGAAATTGGTGATAAACCCCAGGATCTGGGCTCTGCCTGGGGAATCCTGAGATGGTATCCCCTGGGATCTTGTAATTAGAAACATTTGAGACAATAAAAGTCAACTCAGTAAAATGGACTCATGTGATTCTTTCCCTGCCTTGAGTTGACTAGTTACTCAGTTGGTTCATGTCTGGGGTACAATGTTAGCAGCCCCAGCTTTCCCAGGACTGTCTCTGTTTTGATATATGAAAACCTACCTGTCCCCAGACAGAATATTCGAATAGAGGATGAGAGTCCCGGGCATCTGGCTTGTTCTTCAACCCTGAATTCTAGCTTCCACCCCCCAATGCCTTTGCCTTCAGGGAGAAAGAGACACGGGAGCCTTTTTAGTTCCAATCATATACATCCAGCTCTTTGGTTGGTTGCTAGGCAACTGCAAACATGGCTGCCAGGACAGAGCTTTGTGGTGTTCACTCTTACTTAGAGCCTAGATTCCAGCAGGAAACTGTGGTCCCCTCATCCCAGGTGGCCCTTACGGGATGGGTTAGTTTCCCGTTGCACACTACCACACATTTAGGGACTTAACACAAGTTTATTCTCTTGGTGTCTGGCAGTTAGAAGAACTAAAATCAGTCTCACTGGGATAAATCAAGGTGTGGGCAGAGGTGGTTCCTCCTGGAGGTTGTGAGAGGAGAATCCATACCCCTGCCTTTTTCTGTTTCCAGAGGCTGCCTGCATTCCTTGGCTTGTGACCCCTTCCTTGCATTGCCCCCACCCTTTTTCCTCTGTCATCACATCTCTAATACTCACTCTGATTTTCTGCTTCCCTCTTATAAGGGACCTTCTTATAAAGACCTCCTTATCCTCTTATAAGGATATAGGGATCTTATAAGGTGATCCCTCTTATAAGGATGATGCATGCTCACCCCGCTATTGCCAGCCCCTTAATCTAATTAAATATGCAAATTCTCTTATGCCTAATAAGGTAATGCTCACAGGGCCCATGTATGCTTGCCTGGAGAATCCCATGGACAGAGGAGCCTGGTGGGCTCCAGTGCATAGGGTTGCAAAGAGTCGGACACGACTGAAGCGACATAGCACGCACAGGGCCCAATGATTAGGATGGAGACATCTTTGGGAGGCTATTATTCAGCCTAAAAACATAGTATCACAAGATATTCTGGTTCTCATTAATCTGGCCCAACTTTCGTCTAAGCGTGATTATAACTGTCCAATCTTACCCGATGGCTCAGCAGTAAAGAATCTGCATGCCCGTGCAGAAGACGCAGGAGTCGTGGGTTAGATCCTTGGGTCCGGACGATCCCCTGGAGGAGGAAAAGGCAACCCACTCCAGTATTCTTTCTGGAAATAATCCCATGGACAGAGGAGCCTGGCAGGCTCTAATCCATGAGGTCGCACAGAGTCGGACATGACAAGTGACTTAGCACGCATGCATACATTAGGTTAGATTTGAAGGTTGCTGAATTTGATCTCAAGCGAACCTTAAGAGGAGAGCCAAGCCATTGTTTGACTCCTCATCTCCAGTCTTGCCTGGTTTCTGTAGGTAAGGTGCAAAGGCAAATGTGTATTCTCTGCAGTTCTGGAATTGCACCCCCTCCCCCCATCCTGCCTCACATCGGCCAGCTGGGGAAGACTGAATGAATTTCTCATGATTAATCCAGATCTTGGGTCCCAGAGCGTGGACTCGAACCCGAGTCCAGTTCTCTGAGCTGTTAGAGGTCCTTCAAAGCCACATACAGTGGCCTCATCTCTGATGGAGGAATCAATTACCCAGCAGCGGATGGTATGTGACGGTTTGGCCACACGATGGCGCTTCACGCCTAACAATTCCGCGGCTTCTCCCAATCACGGATGATTTGATTCAAATAGAACGGTGAGGCGGTGTGTCCTTTCTCATAACAACACAGATACCATTGCCAGAGAGCCAGGGGCTGTTGGGGAGCAGAGGTGAGCTGGGTTCGATAACCGAGGGAAAGCCTCTGTTCTACTTTATAGTATTGTGTAAGGATGAATTAATATTAAGTGGAGCCAAATGAAATTGCTGACACCCAACAGTCTTTGACCCACAACGGCAGCAATTTCATGTGGTTCATCCTACAGGGTCTTGTGCCAAGTCACAGCGAGACTTGGTAGAAGTGAGCTGTTATTATCACAGCCAGAATGACAAGAGAACAACATGCCCTTACTATGAACACTTAGAAAATAGTTGCTTTGTCTTCTGGAATTTTTTTCCTGAAGATTCTTACTAGTAGGAGACTCTGCTGTTTCCATGGACTCAAGTTCCAAATAGGAAAATATGTCTGACAGATATCTACGTATCACAGCTATGCTATCAGTCAAGCCACTTCTCGCTAAAGCCTGCCTTCAGCAAGGTTGGTTCCAGCAAGGATGAAGATCGAGGCTGACACAGTACCATTTGCTCTCTGAGTAAAGCTGAACTCTCATCTCTGGGGTTCAGGGTCCTCCTTTGCTGTCTCCTGCAGAGCCTCCCTTGCCTCTCCAAGCAGGCACTCTGCACCTGGGGCTGGTATTGAGACTTTTCTCTCTGATGTACCTACATTGTATCTCATTCCCTTTTAGCAAGTCTGGTGAATGCTAGCTGATCCTGCTAACCTAAGGAATAGAGACTGTTTTCATTTTGGAAGAGTTTTCAAAGCTGTAGCCAAAAGTGATGAGAATTTCAGATACCTGGGACAGGCCTGTGGGATGGGGATAATTTTGATCATAAGAGCCTCTGGGAACCCCGGAGCCTGCCTACACCCCACTTGGTAGTCCTGTTGCATTAGGCCCTAATAGGGAGCTGGAGGTGGACTGGGGGTCCCCA